CAATGCATTGCTAGTAAGAGGGGGATCTACTTTATATAGAGGCTGTTATACTAAGTGAAATAAGCCAGTCACAGAAGGACTGCATGATTCTACTTCTGTGAAGTATCTAAAACAGCTAAAATTCAAAAAATCAAAGAGAGGAATGGTGGGAGCCAAGGGCTGGAGGGAGGGGGAGAAGGGGAATTGCCAATCCATAGGTATAAAGTTTTAGTTAAGCAAGATGAATGAATTGTATAGGTCTGCTGTAGAAATTTGTGCCCAGGGTTAACAATATTCATGTTTAGAAATGTTAAAAGGGTAGCTCTCATGTTAAGTGTTCTTGCCACAGTAATAATGATAATAATAATCATAAAGATACAGGGCTATGCTTTGTCACCCAGATCCTTGGCATGGAAGGAAGTGAAGAGACCCTGGGTTCTGCCACTTCTTCCTTCTACACTCACTGACTGAGGACCTGCTATGTGCCAGATGCTATAAGGGCACAGATAAAGATGTAATGTCAGTTTCTTCCTTAGGCTTTTGGGCCACGGCACAGTATGTTATTCCTGAACACTTGGCACAGTACACCCCCTGCCTCCCTCCGTGCGTCTGTGGACCTTGTATCACCTCAGGGAACCTGTGGAGATGGGTCCCTCCGTGCTTGGCCAAACTCTTGAGATGCAAACACTGATTCTACCCTCCATGCCTGGCTGCTAAAGTGTGCTTTCCATCCTGGACACCAATTCCTCAGATGACTCACAGCCTCCTCCTGCCTCTTCCCATCTCTCTTCCTCTCACTTTCTTTCTCATTAAGGCATAAGATACTGACAATCAAATTTATAAAGTGGGTACATTTTATGAATACAGACTGATGACTTTACATATATATTCACCAACATAGTCACTGTTCAGATAAAGTCACAGACAGGGCAATGGAGGTGGGGGGAATGGCCCCGAGTCCCTCTCTGAGCCCTTCAGGACTTTAGCCCTGTGTCTGTGTCCTGGTCTTTCCTGCCCGGCCACTTAGGTCCCAGTGGCCCCACAGCTTAGCATACCTTGGCTGTATGTCTCTCTGCTGCAGCTCTAGCTTGACTAAAACATTTTAGGTGATAGACGGCCTCTGTGCCAACTTCCCCATGGAACCCTGGGCCCACCTCCTAAGGCTTTTGATACCCTCTGGGGCTGCTCCCTGGCCATGTCACTGTTGTGCCTGGGGCTCCTGCTTCCACTTGGCTTTGTGTGTGGTGATGTGGGTAAAGAACACCCTGGGTCTGCTCGACAACTCCCAGGTTGTTGCCCTACTGGGTGCCTTCATTTCCTGGCCTGTGGCCCTTGCTGGCATACAGTACTCTTTTTCAATCCTCCCATCTTTGCTGCTCCTCACACCTTACAGCCAGTAAGGAGGGAGGTACCACTTCTCTTGGCTGCCCCCTTTTCTGCCTCCTCAGGTTCTTTCAAAGTTGGTGCTCCCTAAGGCTCCTTCCCCAGCCCCTCTCATCTCTTTGTTCCTCCATCCTCTTCCTTGGAGACTGTACCCTCACACCCCCGTTTTGCAAACACATCCATCCTTGGTCCCCTTATCTAAGTTCCCAACACCTTCTTCCCCAAGCACATACTGCCACTTCCTACCAAAATGTGGCAGACCTATGGATTCCACATTCACCCCAAAAGCTGTTGCTCAGAATGTTCCCTGTTCCTCCAAAAGTGCCTCCCTTCTTCCAGGCCTGCCTCAGAGCTCTTGGAGGGGGAGGCTTGCCCTGTCCTTCCTGCACAGCCCTCAGACGACTCCTGCTTGTACTGCAGGCTCTGTCCTCCTGTTCTTTCTGTTGTCCTGCCCTCCGAGCCACATCATGGCAGATCAGAATATTCTGTATCCTTGCTTGGCCTCAGTCCTGCTTGCTCATTATTGCCAGATTCCACTCAGTTTGGCTCCATCAGTGGCCCTGGGCTGTGTTCCAAAACTTGGTGAGGTGCCCAGTGCAGACTAGCAGGAAGGGAGAGGCAAGGATAGCCCCTGGGTTGCCATTCCAGCTGTGAGGAGCAGCAGAGATGAGGGATTGAGGAAGAGCAGTGCATGCCAACAAGGGAAGAGGCCACAGAGATTTAGGGATGACTTCCTAGAAGAGGCAGACGTGATCTCAACCTCAAAAAATAGTAGCCTTTTGCAGTGTTGATTGTAATAGTGGAAAATTAGAAAAACTGAACATTCAGCAGGAGACTCTGTCAACACACCATGGAATACACTCAAACAGAATACTATATGGTTGCTAAAATAACCAGAATGGATAAATCTCAATGACAAAACATTGGGTAAAAAAGGCAAACTGAAGATGAATGTGCATAGCTGGTACAACTTATATAAGTCTGCAGGACACATAGGACAACACTGTTTATTATTATGGATTCAGGTGTTTGTGGTAAGAGTATAAACATGTGTGTGGGAGTGATAAACACTAGATTTACCTCTAGGGAGAGAGGAAGGGACAGGAGGAGGGAACTTAGTTGTGGCTGTTCTATTTCTTTGAAAAGAGAGAGGAAGTGATCTGAGGCAAATGTGAAATGTTATCATCTGTTCAATATGGGTGATTACAGATACATTGGCACTTACATTATTTTCTCCGTATCTGTGCATTATTCTGTAACTAAAATTTTTAAAAGAAGTTAAAGGAGCATAAAGGGAGGTGGCATTCTATATGCACCCTGATTATTCCTGACAGGGGGCCAGTATGAACTAAGGGGTAGGGAGGAGGCTGAGGGTACCTGGAACAGGTCACAGCTGTGGTTTGGTTGGTAGGAAAGAAACCTGGGCGGTAGGCTTGGGAGGATTCTAAATCCTGGGTATGTGGGTTTCTAAGAGGGGGGCCACACCAACTTTCTCTTACCTATTTGCCACCTCCTGCTCCATCCATCCCTCTCTCTTCCCTGACAGCAGCCTCTGGCAAGATGATTTTCAAGCTAGTGATTTATTCATTCCTTATCTTGTATTTACTGAGCCTCTACTACAAAAGCAAACGCTCGCTCTGCACTCACCATGTGTCCGTTACATTCACACATAATATCTCACTCAAGTATCACCATAGTAGTACAAATGGATATTATTATAACCATCATTGTTTATATATATATATATAATTGTATATATATATAAACTATATATATATATAGAAACAATATATACAATATATATATGTATGTATATATATATATACACCCTAGTTTATAGATGAGAAACAGAGGCAGAGAGGTTCAGGGATTTGCTAGCAGTTACACAGCTCATAAGGAGAAGAGCTGGGTTTTGAGACCAGGCTCTGGCACCAGAACCTGTGGTCCATTCCATTCTCCTCCATTGTTCCTCATATGCCAGGCACTGTATTGGGCACTGGTGATTACATAACTGACATAGTCTGTCCTCACAGAGCTTCTGGGTCAGTGGTAGCAGGGGGCAATCATACCCCAAGTCAAGTAACACAGAAATGTGATTACAGCTAAGGAGCTAATAAAAGAAGAGAAACTTGTGCCCAAGGGAGAATATACAGAGAAAGACACAGCAAAATTGAGAAAAAAGAAGAAAGGCCTTAATGAAGTGGGAACATTTATTCTGAGACCTAAAAGATGGGGAGATAGCCAGAAGGATTTGGAGAAAGCAAGCCAGACAAAGAAAAGAGCAAGTATAAGGTATGAGCTTGGCATGATCAAGGACCCAGAAGAGGGTCAGAAGGGCCTGAGTGCACAGTGAGCAAAGTTCAGGGCAACAAAGCCATGGGGTCAGAGGGGAGGTAACTCATCACTCAGATCCTTCCTTGCAGAAGAGGGACCACATGTCTGGGTTTACCCAACATAGTCCTAGTATGTGTCTGTGATCTCAGTGTAAATATATAAATAGCTCATTTTGGTCTGGACAGTAATAAACTTGAAGGTCACTCTATCATAGGCTATGATGGACAGTTTGGATTTTGTTTCCAGGACAGTAGAAAAGCATTGAGGGATTTTAGTAGAGAATGACACTCTAATTTATAATGCATAACAATCACTCTAGCTGATGTGAGGAGAGGACCTGTAAGGGAGCAGGAGGGGGCTACTGTCCCTTTTCTGACTCAGCTGCAGAGCACGGAAGGAGCAAGGCCTGAGAAAGGGGAGGTTCTGGCTTGGGCTGGCTGAAGTTACAACCATGGGAGTAATGAATGTGTCCCCAGAGATGCTGTTCCCCTTCCCCTCCCTGTATTGACCCAGCCCCAGGGCTTCCAGAAGGGGCCTCAAGGTATGGGAGGAAGTTCCTGAGAAGAGCTGCCCACCTCCCAGGAAAACAAGAGAGCCTGTGGAAGAAATAGCAAAGTTCTCTGGAAGTGCTGAAGGACTCAGGAAATTTAAGAAACTACAATGAACAATATTAACTTTCCATATGATAATATGTCCTTTACTTTTCCTTCTCACACCTATTTCAGAAGTGAGAGCCCAGGGCATTCATAAATACCAGCTGGGGAAGGCCTCTCACAGGGGGCCAGCTTCCCAACTGAGAGAAAGCAGGTGGCTTTGGGTGTCTGCTGATGTTCATTGTAGACTGGCCAGGGATTGCTGCCCATGAATGAATGCTGGCCAACCCACCCTGGGCGCCACAACTGGGTGTTGGCATTTAAAGCTGGGGGTGCAGAGAGGGGGATATATAAACAAGCAGATACACTGCTCACCACTTACTATGGGAAGACACCTACACAGATTTCCATTGATCTTTTATATTTAGAACAGTCGGGAACTTAAAACAAGCCCAGGGCTTCTAATAGCAGTGAAGAAGGTGGGTCAGAAAAGTGAGTTCATAACAAAATCCTGCAAGCACCAAGAGCCTGTTATTCTCCCACAAAGCAGCACAAGCACCTAAGAGACCAGGCAGGTTGCTAAGTAAACCTCCCACGTTCAGGTGGACAGTCACTCTCCACCTGGAGAGCCATCCAAGTCTGGGTGCCAGGAAGGGACGGCCACAGGCTCAGGGAGGGAGGTTAGAGGTTGGTGGGACAGGGGTCACTCACCCAGTGGCAGGACGAAGAAAAAGGGGAACCAGCAGAGCACGAAGACGCCCACGACAATGGCCAGCGTCTTGGCCGCCTTCTTCTCGCGAGAGAACTTGAGCAGACGCACCGACAGGGAGCTGCGCAACGTGCGACCCTTGGTGCTGCGCATCCCCCAGTGGGTCTCAGCTGAGCCAGCGCTGGCGCCGCGACAGTGGATGCGCAGCACCACCTCGGAGGCCTTGCCGCGCTCGCGTTTGACGCCAGACTCCAAGCTGCGCGTGGTGCTTCGCGCTACCACGTAGACGCGGCAGTACATGACCACGATGACTGCCATAGGCAGGTAGAAAGAGCACAATGAGGAGAAGACAGCATAGCCTGCCTCCTCAGTGATGCCGCAGAAGCTCTCGTCAGGGGGCACCGGCTCCTTCCATCCCAGCAGTGGCCCCACGGACACGACGAGAGCTACGGCCCAGAGCAGCGCCAGGATGGCTGCTGCCTTGCGCTCGGTCATGATGGAGGGGTACTTCAGCGAATGGCGTACACCCACGTACCGGTCCACCGAGATGGTGCAGAGGCTGAGGATGGAGGCCGTGCAGCACAGCACGTCCACGGCGGCCCAGACGTCGCAGAAAGCCCGGCCAAAGGCCCAGAAGCCCAGAACCTCCATGGTGGCCGAGAACGGGAGCACTGTGGCGCTCAGCAGCAGGTCGGCCACAGCCAAGTTCACAATGAAATAGTTTGTGACCGTTTGCAGGTGGCGGTTGCAGGCCACCGAGAGGATGACCAGCACGTTGCCCGCCACAGCTGTGAGGATGAAGGCTGCCAGGAAGACGCCCACGCCCACTCCCTGAGCACTCACCACCAGCCCCTCGACGGCCGCTGTGCCATTCACCTCGCCGCCGGCGCCTGGGCTCCCGGGCTCTCCAGCGGAGCTCCGGTTGTCCTCGCTGCTGCCGGCGCCCACCACGCCGCCGCCGCCGCCGCCGCCGCAGCCCGCGGCCGCAGGCACGCCGTCCACCGCCTGGCCCTCCGAGGCGGCAGCGCCGCCCGCGCCTCCCCCTCTACCACCCCCGCTGGCGCTGCTGTCCGAGCCGGGTCCCTCGAAACTGAAGCTCAGGAGATCGCGGAAAGTCATCTCAACGCGCGGCCGTCGGGGGGCCGGCCTGAGCACACGACGAGCGACTGGTAGAGCGTGGGGCACCGGGCAAAGCCTCGGGGCTCCGTCTCCAGCCCTACGCGCTGGTCTTGTCAGGGTCCTACTCCAGTTCCTGGACGTGGAGCGCAGCTGCTCGCGAGCGGAGTGAGCTGGCCGCGTAGTGGAACCGAACAGCCGGGGCCGGCGACGCGCGCCGCTCCCGCAGCGTGCCCAGGCGAGCTGGCAAAGCGGCGGCCGGGCTGTGAGGGCGGCGACCGCTGTGGCGCTCGCTCCTGAGCGCCGAGGGCGGGACTGAGCCAGGGCAGCCCGAGGAAGGAGGAGGGGGTGGCTGGCTCCGAGGGACCGGCGCCACACTTGCGGGACGAAGGGGATCTGTGCTCCGAGCCAGCTGGCGTTCCGGGGTCCCCAGGGGCGGCAGCGCTGGCTCACGCTCCGACCCCGCCGCAGCCACCCCTGCCGCGCCTCAGATGCCCTCGCCGGCCCTCTCTCTAAGCGATCGGCTCCCGGCCCTCTCCCACGTCCCTCCTGAGCCTCCTCACCCTTTTCTCTCAGCTGCGTCTTCCTGCCGCCTTTCCCCCAGCGTCGCGGTCACTGCCGGTGCCCTTAGGGGCACTGAAAGTAGAAGGTGCGATTCCAGGGTCCCCGGTGGCCGTCAGAGAGCAGCAAGCGCCTGAGATCTGCAGACTGCTGTCTGGGCCTCGCCGGGCTGCGGTGGGTCACCTCCAGGGACAGCCTGGATGAATCTGCTACACCTCCTTTCTTCTTTCAGGGTACTGGGCAAGGGAGGATCTCAATCACCTCTGTCCAGTGTCTTGGTGTGGAGAGCCAGGGAGGAGGTCTGAAGCTTGGGGGGCCTGTGATGGGGAAGGAACAAGAGACTACTTATATGGTTACAGCCTTCAGACCCTGCCCAGGACACATCAGTCTACATATACCAACTTCTGCACTGTTACTTTACACCATATCCAATGTCAAAATGAACTTCCCATTTTTACACTAAATAAGTGGCTTTCTTCTAGGGAGGGAGAATTTAAGGGTTGGAGGGTGGGAAAGGTCTCTTGGCTGGATGGTTAAAGGAGGTGGGGCAGACAGCCTGGCTCCAAATCTAAGCTCCCCCAGTGTTAGCTGTTTGACCTCTTTATGTCTCAGTTTCTCATCTGTAAAATGAAGGTGAGTAGTGTCTACCTACTGGCCTGAAGGCTTAATGAATTAATATGTGTTAGGGCTCCAGAGTTATGGGCTTCCCAGGTAGCACTAGTGGTAAAGAACCTGCCTGCCAATGCAAGAGACATAAGATCCCTGGATTGGGAAGATACCCTGGAGAAGGAAATGGCAACCCACTCCAGTGTTCTTGCCTGGAGAATCCCATGGACAGAGAAGCCTGGTGGGCTATATATAGTCTATGGGGTCGCAAAGAGTTGGACACGACTGACGCAACTTAGCATGCACACACACACTCCAGAGCAGTGCTTGCTTCCTTAGCTGAGTGGGACTAGGCGGGGCAGGATTTGAACTGGAGGACAGAGGGCAGAGGGAATGTGGAGATGATATGAACCCTGACACAGGTGGAGGGGTGGGCTTGAGGAGACTCTTGTTGACTAGCAAGACTGGGTAGGGAGAAACAAAAAGAGACCATTCCTTTGGCCAACATAAAAGTACTAACCAGGCTGCTGTCATGTGTCAAGCCCGACTGGACATTCTGGGTGGCAGGGGAGTAGGGAACTGTAGCGAGAATAATGCCACTGAGTAAGTGCAGGATGAGGAAGGCTTGAGCCATGCCAGGGAGATGAGGACCTGTTTGGAGAGGTATCTGGGAGGGGCCAGAGAACTCGTGGTCTCAGTGCCCACTGTGATGTCTGAGAGTCTTAGATGAGAAGGTACTTTGGAGAAGAAGCAGAAAAATGGGAGAAATGAGATGAATAACCCCCCTCCCCACCCTAGGAAGCCAAAGCTGCTATAGTCTTGGGTTAGAAACAGCTTTTCCAGGTCATTAGCTTCCCATTACATCTTTCATCTTTTACTTGGGTCTTTGGGAACTTACAGTGGAGAGTTGAAATGAAAGCAAGGTGCCTTATGAAATGAAAGCAAGGTGCCTTATAAGGATTACTTGGCAGCTGACCAAAAACACAAACTGTGGGTTTCCTTTATGAAGGGGAGGGGCAGAGGACTCTGGAAAGAGAGGCCAGGAGCTTCTCACATGGAAATATTGGATGGCAGGCTCTGTGTCTGTAACTGGCTGCCATTTCACAGTGTAGGACAAGGGGTAACACTGGTGGAGTATATCTGATCCTGGTCGGTTTCCAAGGATGATTGGAAATAGGAGACATAGTAAAACCTAAGCTGGGCCTGGGGTGATAGGGGGCTACTTGACAGGTGTCACATAGAGATCTGTGCCTAATTCTGGTTTAGAGTAACAGCATAAGACTGGCTGGAGGTATACTTGCCAGTAGGTTGAGGAGGAATTGTGGGATAGGTTGCCAGGAAGGAGACAGGGCAGCTTGCTGCTTTTCAGATCTTGTTCTGCAAGAGAGCTTTGGAGGTTCTAGAGCTCTAGAGGAAGAAACAGGGAAAGGCAGGAGCTATGAAATTATTACTTTCCTCTACTAGTTTATTATGCTCAAATCTGGAAAGGGGTCAAATTGCTGGACCGGTAAGCCCTGGAGACCTGGTTGGCCATTTGTGATCCAGCAGCATGACTTCTAGTTTAAGAAGGAAAACTAAGCACCTGTCTTTGTCTCTTCTCCCTTAAGAGACCCCTTTAGAGTGACAGTAAAGAAAAAGGGGGCTTCACTGTGGCTCTGTGGTAAAAAGCCCACCTGTAAATGCAGGAGACCTGGGTTTGATCCCTGGGTTGGGAAGATCCCCTGGAGGAGGAAATGGCAACCCACTCCAGTATTCTTGCCTGGGAAATCCCATAGAAAGAAGAGCCTGGCAGGCTACAGTCCATAGGGTTGCAAAAGAGTCAGACACAACTTAGTGGCTAAACAACAACAACAACAACAATATATGACAAACCCATTGTAAACATCATCTGCAATGATGAAAAGCTGAAAGCATTTCCTCTAATATCAAGGACAAAGAAAGGATGTTCACTCTTGCTATAGTCCATGGGTTCGCAAATAGTCAGACATGACTTAGTGTCAAACAACAACAGCAATAACAAAAGTAAAATTCCTGACTTCCTGGTGTTTGCATTCAAATTGTAGAAAGTGCTACCCAAAAGAGTTAAGAGAAGAGCTTTCCCATGGACAAAAAGTTTTCTTTGGGTTTTGTATCTGGCTCCTGAGACTCTTTTCAATTATGTCCTCAAAACCCAAAGGAACTGTTTTCCAGTTCTTCCCTGCCTCAGAGTAGCAGTGGAGGCTGAAAGCACGCACATTCACATATGTTATTGGAAAACTTGGCTAATGTTGCCACTTCCTGGGATCAGTTACTATGAACAACATGGACATCCCTTCTATTCTTCAGCTGCAAGTGTATCTTTAGCTCTGACCTGACCTTTAAACTTACAATGGCCTGACCCTACCTCTGGTTACAAGCTGACGTACAACCCTGACTGACCCGAAACCTAAGGCTTCCTGATCCATCTAATAGTGCCATTCACGCCAAATACATACTATGTATGGTCAATAGGGGTACTGAATGAAGGGAAGAGATTAGTGCTACATTGTTTCACCGTGAGGACAGTAGAGTTTGGTGCTGGCTATCTCTCAGTGCTTGTGGGTTACAGAGTATGTGGGGAAAATATTTATGCAGAAAGGAGATTCGTAATTCATCTTCCCGTCTTCATTCATATGTCAGTAGAGGCTACGGGGGACTAGAGGCCTGTTATTTGACTGTTTATGCTAATATCTACCTAAAATCAATGGAGTTGGGAGTTAGTGATTATATCTGTCATCATAGCAGAAATGGTAGATTCTCGGAATGGGCACCAATGGAGTGATATTCCTCACTGAAGCCTAGCAAGCAGTCTACTGCTTTGGGGACTCTTGGTGTGGCTGTTTGCTTTGCAGCTGTGTTTGATTCTGCTCCTAGTAGATATTCTTTTGGTTTTTTCTTGTTCTTTTATTTATTTTTGTTGTTGTTTTTTGTGTAAGAGCTATTCTTATGTTTCTTTTTATTTTCTTTAGGAGAGCAAGTAAACTGGGAAGCAGAATATTGAAGAAAGTCGGAAGGCCCACTAAGGTGGAAAACTCTTGGTGTGGGCAGAGATTAGTTATGGTAGGTTAAAAGTTGTAATAGATAACCCCCAAACTTCAGTAGCTTAGCACAGTAAAACTTTATTTGTCATTTACTCAGCATCTAATATGAATGTACCTGATTGGCAGCAGCTATCCTGGACAGATCTCCATGGGATCCAGGTTTCTTCCAATGTGTGACTCCACTATTTCCTAGAATCCTGGAATTCTCCAAGGCCTTGGAGACCTCTTATAGATTGTCTATATCCACCTGCCCAAAGGACAAAGGGATTCCTTTTGTGGAGGATTATATAGACATTTTAGGAATCAAGTACAGCAATCTTGTCTAAGTTCATGCCTCCACTTGGATGCAAGGGGGAAATGTGGGTCAGCCAAGTGCCCAAGAATAGGGAATGGATTTGATGACCATTCAGCTTGCAGGATATTATGCTGCAGGAAAGCAGGGGTCCCAGGAAGACTCCATTTGAGTGCTAACTAGGCAATCTCGATAGGTGCATTGTGAAAAGAGTAGGTGGACTGACTGATCTGAAATCTTGGCTAATATTCTACCCAGGCCCACTGGACACTTTTCATGTGGTTATTTCTTCTAGACCAGTCCCAAGGTGCATATTTCCAGTATGGCTTACTAAAAAAACATTGAATTTGAGAATGCCATTTAAGAATATGCCTGTGACAACGATAATTCCAATTCACTAAGCTCTGGGAATGCAAAATGAGAATTAAAGTGGGCAATAGAAACTCAGGTAGTATTGCTTTAACCTCCCTGGAGAAAAAGCAAACCCTCTCTAGAAGAGTCCACTCAGTACCAAGGGGAATCCCTTCATTTCC